TAATGCTGATATAATGGTACCACATCGTTTTTCCCGTTAGCTAACAATTTAAAATTTCGTACTGGAATATGTCTTCGCGCTATGCGTACAGGATTTGTTGTTGTTTGATAAGATCAAAAGCCAGCGAGAGCATCTCTCAATTTCACCAATGAAGTCTCTTTTTCAGCCGTCTATTCCCTTTCCAGTCACAAACGTAACACCCAAAAGCTAGCTAGCCTTACCATCGTATGATTCCCTTCTCCATTTCAATCCCTATCACTTGTCCAAATCTCCCAATTTAACCATTAATTCCACAACCCCCAAAACCAAAACCAAAACCAAAATTGGAGCTTTAAAAAAGTGAAGTAGAATTTTAAAAAGGATGCCTCTGATGAAAGAGTTAACGATTTGGAAGGTGTGTACTACATATGAAAATAACGATTTGGAAGGTGTGTACTACCTATGAAAATAAAAAAAGTAGCGACATATCTCTTGAACTAACTCTAGTCACTAACAAATTTAAACTCCGTCGTTCAATCACAATATTGTTATTATAGTATGCAAATAACTAAGTATTAATTCTTTTTGGGAAGCTGACATGAGTCCCATTCAGGGCCGGCCCCGAGGTTTGGGTTGCCCTAGCCCAATTCAATTTTGGTTGCCCCTTATATTAAAAATCTACAAACTCTCAAAGTGGAGCACTAGAGTGCATAATACATTGTTTCTCAAAACTAAGTCAGCTCTTAAAACTCTCTAAAGTCTATTTTGTAGTTTCAAGGAAATGGACGACCTCCACAACTTGAATTTTCCTCCTCTGTCATGGATCTATCTTTCGTTACAAGTTAAAAGAACCTTCTTCGAATTGTGTTCTAAATCACTCACATGCCCAAAGACTTGACGGGGTGACATATCAAACTCAAGGCCAGAGACATGATTGAAGGTTTCTTTTCAAAAGAGGATTTGCGTAGAAAATGAATGGAAAGGGACATTATTGTTGTGTGACAGTATCTCTACTTACGAAGGGATAGAGAGATGTAAATATTGGATTAGGAGACATGCAGTAGCATGCTTCGTTGATGTCAAATTCATCTGAATGACAAATATTAATGGCGAAAGAAGATAATAAATGCATCTATCCTTTATTTTTGACATCTGTGGTATAGACTTTCACTACCTCAACTCAAATAAAAGGGAGTCACACACGCGCATAAGTTTCCAATCTTTTCACAGGCACCCTAAAACACGCAAAACATGTTTTGTCTAACTATACAGGGGAAAAAACTGATATTTGCCAAAGGAGTTACAAAGTAGTTGCAGAATAATTAGGTCACAATTAAAAGAGAGCAAACCAAACAAGACTGAGTTAAAATAATCAGGTAATTATGCAAAAGAAAAACAAGATATAGTACACTACTCCATAGAACTAAGATAATAACAAATAGCTCATAATCAGCAAATAAAATTAAAGGGGGAAAAACCTCGTGGTCGCAGTCAACCATCTGCTGCTCACTAAGGCTATAACAGCCTAACAAGCTTTCCCGTCGCCAGAAAGTTCGCCCCTTCCAAAGCCCCTTAAGCATTAAATGCCCAACACGATCCACAAGCACCCTAAAACACCCAAAACATGTTTTTTATATTAAAAAAAATCTAAAACCCCAACAAAATCCCACCTGATTCTTGACGCCAGTAACAGCTCCATGATCCCTCCAATCAAACTCCTCCGGCAAATCACTCGTCGGCAAGATTGGCGCCTCGTGCGCCCCCTTCAAATCCATCTTCTTCCTCCTCAACCCTAACTCTACCAGTGCTGAACCTGCGAATGTCCAGATCCGGCCTCCGGGGCAAGGAGAAGAACAAGGGGTGATGAAATGATAGCAGCAGCCAAAAGCCCTAACTCTAGCTCGCTATCTCTGTTCTCATATCAAAGCCCTAGCTTTTAAGATGCATCGATTTGGTTGCAACGCATATTGACCGAGTCGGGTTTAACTCCAAACCCTGCCCGAGTGGACCTGTTATGGCAGCTCGCTGGGCTTGCTGAAAACAGGGAAGTTCCTCAGAGGGAAGTTCGGCAGCGACAGGCCTTGGGTGCCCCCCGGGCCCCGGTCTGAGCCCCCTTGTGGCCCCGGCGTTGTGGGGCTTACCCCAGGGCCGCCCTGGTCCCATTCACGCCGAGATCATAATATGATCAGATCCCTAGCCCGCCCCTGTCCCCTCTCCTCCCCTAGCCCCCTCCCCTCCCCCCTTCCCCCTCCTCTCCCCCCTCCTAGCTCTACTTACCCCCCCCCCTTCTCCCTCCTGGCCCTTCTCCTCCCTCTCCCTCCCCTACCCCTCCCTCCCTCCCTTCCCTCCCGGCTATCCCTGCCCCCTACCCCTATCCCCTAGCTACCCCTCCTCTTCCCCCTAGCTCTACCTCCCCCACGCCTCCCTCCTCCCCCCTCCCTACCCCTAGACTCGCTTACGTCTCGACGACTCGAACCACTCCTATCGGCCGATCCTCATAGGCCGACAATTACCATGACCGACTCGAAATTGCGTATAGCGCTACTGATCAGAATTCAAGCCCACAAGCCTCCACACTCGGCCCACTACCTTAGCCGATAATTCTCGAGACCGACTAAAAAGACGGTATTTGTCGGCCTTTAGTCAGACGGCTAGAGAGGCAGTGCATCCTCGAACTCCACACCAACACTTGCCCCTCCTCATCACAGCTGGTGCCATGAGTCCTCATGACTCATCATTCACCAACCCCCCTCGATGATCCTCACATCTAATCACACTTTAGCAGTCGACACCTGTAGAGACATATGCCGAGTCAACTGTCTGCCTGTACTCAGCCAAAGTTACATCACTGCCTTTCTGATATGCTATAAATTGGAGCTGCACTGCATGAGGTAGCTTCTTGGGGGCTTTCAAGCAAATATGAACAATTCATCTTCTTCACTTACTTCCTATTTTACCTCTCAAGCTCATACACTAACCTGATCGTCGGAGGAATAACCGGAGAACCCAACTCCGGCCTCTCATAAACTTTTTATGTGGAACAATTTTTCAAAATCGACCCATTTAGTTTTTTATTTTTCAAAATCGACCGTTTTTTCTTTTATTTATCAAAACCGACCGGATTTTGTGATTAGCAGATTAATCACTATCCTAAATAGTCGGGGTTGCCAACCCCGACTATTTAGGAGGGTGTTAAACCCTAATTAAGGCATTTAATTAGGGTTTAACACCCTCCTAAATAGTCGGGGTTGGCAACCCCGACTATTTAGGATAGTGATTAACCTGCTAATCACAAAATCCGGTCGGTTTTGATAAATAAAAGAAAAAACGGTCGATTTTGAAAAATAAAAATCCGAATGAGTCTGTTTTGAAAAATTATTCTTTTATGTGTAGGAGAGAACGTCAGGCTCCAGAATCGGATATTTGAAGAAGTTTGAGGACCCTAATCCAATACTAATCCCTAACTAAACCTCCTGTTCTATAATTGACATCAATTATTGTGTTTCGTGTAATGCTAATTGTATTATAAAATTTACACTATTTTTATCCTATGATATCCAAGCACCTTATATATAGAAATAAAGATACATAAGTCTATTTAAATTTCTTGCAGTACAGTTACTTTTACTTTTTTGCTTCAAGCAGAAGACAATTTTAATTTAATTTCGTTGGGGTTTTCTCCCTAAATATGACATCATCCATAAATTAAATATGAAAAAGAAGCAGAAAATCGAGAGGAACATATCAAATAGTTTCAATCTATCATGCACATAAATTTCTTTTCAACCTAAAGCGATGAGACCAATTATAAGGCGAGTGATGTATACCTTTGTTAAACATTAATCTTGGATAAAATCAAAAACAAAATAACATGTCAAAAATTTCTTTACCATAAATGAAGTATGGGAACTACTTTAATCCTGCAGTGTGTTGAAAAAATCTGAACAAATATAAGTCAGTGAAATATCTAAATTGCCTCCTCTGAACCTCTTGGCTCCTATCAGAGTAGTATTCACCATGCTAGACGTTCTTCCAGAATTTCTAACTATAAATTTTGGATCCGAAAAGAAATATCTTCATATAAATAATGTACTATTATAATGCGTACACTTATATTAGTGAGTTTGTGACTAGTGTATTTTTATTTAGGGGAAATTGCTTCTAGTCCCCAATTTTATTACAAGTGTTTCACCCCATCCTAAGACTTTTTCAATGCTCACAAAACCCCCAAAAGCAAAACACATAATTCCCTGAGCCCCCAAAACACAAAACCAAAAGTTTAAAACATGTGAAAACCATAATACTCTCGATCGTAATACTTTTTCGGCATTTATTCACGGTGTCAACATCGATCGTAATACTTTTTCGGCATTTATTCACGAGACAAAGAAAAAGTCTTGTGGAAACTAGAATTTTTCGGCGGAATACTTGTAAAGAAATAGCGAGAAAGTTTCACCGGCGGGAAGAAAACGACGCTCGTTCGTTGGCGGAATACTTATACGAAAATCGATGACTTGAGATTAAAATAGAGTATGTAAATTTATATATTATTATTATTTCACGGTAATAAGCTTGTTGTTAAGCTTATGAGTTGGTGGTGAATGAAGGTTACATGTCAGTTTTGAAGGTTATGGGTTGGTTGTACGTGAATGATACACGTCGGTTGTGAAGGTATTACGAGTTGGTTGTGAAGGATATGTGTTGGTTGTAAAGATTACGCGTTGGTTGTGAAGGATACACGTTGATTGTGAAGGTGTTACGGTTTGGTTGTTAAGGTTACGGGTTGGTTGTTAATGTTACGGGTCGGTTGTTAATGTTACGGGTTGGTTGTGAACCTCGGTAACCTTAACAACCAACCCGTAACCTTAACAACTAACCTGTAACTTTAATAACTGACCTGTAACCTTAATAACCAACCCATAACATCTGTTACCTTAACAACCAATGCATAACCTTCACAACCGATAACCTTAACAACCGACCCGTAACCTTAACAATCAACCCATAACCTTAACAACCAACCCTTAAACTTAACAACTGACTTGTAAGCTTAACAACCAACTCATAACACCTTCATAACCAACACGTATCCTTTACAACAAAACCCGTAACCTTCAAAACAAACATGTAATCTCTCTTCACCACCAACTCATAAGCTTAATAACAAATTTATTACCCTGAATAACAATAATATATAAATTTACACTCTATTTTTATCTCAAGTTATCGAGGTTCACAACCGACTCGTAACCTTAATAACCGACTCGTAACCATCATAAAAAATCACATTATTGTTGAACATATTCATCCAATATCATCAACAATAACAACAAACAAACAAACAAACAAACACACACACACATATATATATATATATATATATATATGAGAAAATTAGGTATGCTTGGTACCAAATATAAATTTTTGTGCTTAGTAGTGAGGTGACATATTCCCATCCACTCATTGAAATCAGGTCCCACATTCATATGAGTTGGGATGTGGTTGAGAATTGGAATGAGCGGATGAGACGCCAAGGAGCGAAGAGCTACTGCATGTTGTGGGAGTTACTGAGCTTAGGTACCAAGGTTTTAGTGAATCGAGGTGGGAGACCGTGAAGGCGAACCGTGACGACGCGGAGCACCCCCGTCGTTGGATTTTATCAAGAGAAAGAGAGAAAAGTGTATTATATTGTCTTCACATGTTTAAAACTATTGAGTTTTGTGTTTTTGGGGCTTAGAAAATTATGAGTTTAGTTTTAAGGGTTTTGAGAGCGTTGAAAAAATCTTGGGGTGGGTGAAACACTTGGACTGGTTTTGAGGGCTATACACAATTTTCTTTTTCATTATATCGCTTAGCGGGCAGGCGCCGAGCCGCCATGGACCAAAAAAGTCACTATGCTGTCCTCTCTTCTCCCACCCACGCCACCCGCCACGCCCCTGCCCGGCCTATTTTAAACCATCAGCTCTGCCTACACGCCCCTGCCTCCTTCTCCCTACTCCCTTACATTGGCCACTCCATCTTCTTTGGTATTTACGTTCCAACCATTACGCCCGCATATGACTGTTTGGAAACAAGTCTATCGTTACTTCTTTTAATCAAAGTGGGCAAGTCTGAAAACAGTCCCCCAAATCTTGTTATTTTCAAACCATTCATAAGCTCTTTAAGTGTTTCTGAATTTGTTCCTAAAATCTTAATATTAAAAAAAAACTTAGTCCCCAAAATCTCTTAACTGTTTTGAAATTATTTCCCCCGAATGTTTCAACCAGCTACGAACTAGGAGGACTAATTTCAAGATATTTAAAGATTCGCAGAGCTAATCACAAGCACCAAGGATTTGGGATGCTAATTTCAAAATACTAATGTTAAAAGTATAATAATTCGGGTTTGGGGGGACTAATCCAATGATGCGAGGGGGGCTAATCCTGAACATTAGGAAAAGAAAAGGGGGAATTTGGGAAGGGGCAGTTCTGGCAGTCAAACTGACTCCGTCCCGCGATCCAGCCTGTCCTTGGTCGCCTGCCTAAGAAAGCCCATAGCCGTCTACTAGCCACGCCTTTATTCGATTTCGGATCCCAACCCTTGTCGCCTAGCGCATGTAATTAGCACGTACTTCCAGGGGCACTTTCGTCATATAAAACCCCTCCATAAAAAATCCAACATCCACCGTACTTTCTACGGCTCTCAATCTCAGTACGCAGCCTGCGAGCTACGAAGAAATGAAGAGAGAGAAGGTCGATGAGAGAGAAGCTGGAACCGAGCTGCGGGGATCCGCCATGGCCGAATCTTGATCTCCTCTCTCTCTCTCTCTCTCTCTCTCTCTCTCTCTCTCTCCCCGTCGTCGTACTTTCCCTCTACTGTTCACGGCTGAGGTCTTTCTCTAAAGAAAATTTGTTTATTCTTAGGGCTAGGGCTTCCCTTCGCTTCGAAGACTTTAGTCGAGCTCTCGTGCCGAGAAAATCGCTTTGAGCGAGACCGGATCTAGGTCCGATTCGGATAGCGACTCGTTCCGTAGAAAAAGAAGCGTCGAGGGCTTCGAATCTCGAGAAATAGTCTGAATTTGAGGTATATTTTAAAGGAAAAGGTTGGGGAGATTAAAGAAAAGGGGGTTGATTCTTCGATGGAATGAGAAAAGAAAAGTTAAAAGAAGAGAAAAGGAAAGCGACAAAGGCGTCTCTGGTAAAGTCTTTTCCTCTCAATTATTTGAGGTTTTCGCGCTCGCTCTCTCTCTCTCTCTCTACTGTTGCATTGTTTGTTTATTTGCGGAGTTGATTAGGGTTTTGAACTGTTGGGAGTTTTTTTTTGAGAGTTTGTTTGTCCTTTTGCCTCCTCGCCCCGATCTCGAAGTTCTGAGTCTTTTTCGTGCTTGCTGTTTGTCTGATTATTTGAGGAATGGGGGCTCTCAGATCTGTGTCTTGGCTTCTATTGATGCCCTTAAAATAAATTAAGAAGGCGAGCGAGGTCGAGCGGACTAGGCGCTCAGCAGCGTCTTCTTGTGTGGCTAATTTAATGATACAGAAGGAAGAAGAAGCTCACAGCTTTGATTTGAAGAAACGAGGCCCGCGTTCTTTTGAACACGCTAGGGAGATGATGCGATGTGGCTTCCTGTTAGAGATGGGAAGGGCAGTATTGGACCGGGCGAAAAGTATGTGAGGTACACTCCGGGCAGGTGGAAGCCCTCGAGAGGCTGTATCAGGAATGCCCGAAGCCTTAGCTCACCTCGAAGCAGCAGTGATCAGGGAATGCCCCATTTCTCATCTAACATTGAGCCTAAGCAGATTAAAGTCTGGTTTCAGAACAGAAGTGTGTTTTTTTTTTTAAATTAGGGGCGTGCTCTTCTATTCTTTTTTCTTTCTTTTCTGGGGAAGAGCATCTGTTTATGCCCCGTGCTTCATGATCTCAGGTGTAGGGAAAAGCAAAGGAAGAGTCTTGCCGCTTCAGGCCGTGAACAGAAGCTGAATGCCATGAATAAGCTGCTGATGGAGGAGAATGATCGGCTGCAGAAGCAGGTGTCGCAGTTAGTGTACGAGAATGGCTACTTCCGTCAACAGACGCAGACTGTAAGCTCTTTTTATTCCTCCGCTTATTCGTATTCTTTCTGGTGCTGTGATTTATGCGTTGTGGCTCCTTGTTGTTTCGCTTGTGCGTTTAGGCCGCGCTGGCGACCACGGACACTAGCTGTGAGTCGGTGGTGACGAGCGGTCAGCGCAATTTGACACCCCAGCATCCGCCAAGAGATGCTAGTCCTGCTGGGTATGGAGAACGCGTTTTGATTCTTTTTTCCAGCTTGTTTTGTTAACATCTGTAATTGGATAATGGCGGTTGATTGTGTTTGTTGCAGACTTTTGTCCATTGCAGAGGAAACTTTAGCAGAGTTTCTTTCAAAGGCAACTGGAACTGCTGTGGAGTGGGTCCAAATGCCTGGGATGAAGGTTTGACCCTATCTGATGAGAATTTCCGGTGCTCTGTTTATTCGCTTCGGAATCTGAAATTTGTTGGAAGTAACCCTTTTTTTTTTTAATTCTTCGAACAACGTGAGCAGCCTGGTCCGGATTCCATTGGAATCGTTGCTATCTCACATGGTTGTGCTGGTGTGGCAGCACGAGCTTGCGGCCTAGTAGGTTTAGAACCTACAAGGGTAAGCTTATGGGTTTACTCATTTACTTGATTTTAATCAAGTTCTTAGCTGTCGTATGGTAATTGATGGTCAAGCTGGTTGCTAGGTTTAAATTTTAATTGTCTCGCAGGTTGCTGAGATCCTGAAAGATCGTCCGTCATGGTTTCGTGACTGTCGAGCTGTGGATGTCATAAATGTGCTACCCACTGGAAACAATGGAACCATCGAGCTGCTCTACATGCAGGTAACTATATCTCTTTATGCATGCCTGAGATAACTTGATCTTGATCCAAAGTCTGACGTTAGCGTTGGTATTTGATCGTAGCTCTATGCTCCTACGACACTGGCACCTGCTCGTGACTTCTGGTTGCTTCGGTATACATCAGTTTTGGAAGATGGTAGTCTTGTGGTATGTTATGTGGATTATGCAGTATGAGCAAACGTTATGCTTCTTATGTTGCCTATTATATATTAAGATTTGCTTGGTCGTTCTGAGTGTTGTGCTCCCCAATTTATGCTTTTAGGTGTGTGAAAGATCACTCAACAGCACACAAGGTGGTCCGAGCATGCCACCCGTGCAGCCTTTTGTCAGGGCCGAAGTGCTCCCTAGTGGATATCTGATAAGACCTTGTGATGGAGGGGGATCTATGATTCACATTGTTGATCACTTGGATTTGGAGGTACAAAGACTGCTTCTTCACTTTAATGTAAACACATGTAAATCATGTTATTTTTAACAAGTACTAAACTTCTATTGCTCCGAACCAGCCATGGAGTGTACCAGAAGTATTGCGGCCGCTATATGAGTCATCTACTGTGCTTGCTCAAAAGGCAACAATGGCGGTGAGCAGATATATTTTCTTCAAAGTTTTGAGCTTTATGAGATTGACTAGTATTATTAGTTGTTTTTTCCTGTGTATAATTTTGTGACTTTATAAGAAGCCCGCACAACAGCGATTGTTGCTGCTCAAAATGTTATGTCCGGTAGTGATGAAGGGAGGAAAAAGAATTGGACTCACAACATCCTGAAATGACAAAGCTTCCCTCTTCTAACACATGTTATTTTGTCTTAATACAGGCGTTACGACATCTAAGGCAAATTGCTCATGAAATATCCCATTCCAGTACCACTGGATGGGGGAGGCGGCCTGCAGCTCTGAGAGCACTTAGCCAGAGGTTGAGCAGGTGGGGAATTTCAGCTGTCTCATTTTCTTTGTTGTATTTATTTCTCTAACTTTGTCTGGGTCCTAAGTGGTCTAAGCTTTCAGGGGTTTTAATGAAGCTCTAAATGGCTTTGCTGATGATGGATGGTCCATAATCAATAGTGATGGTGTGGATGATGTTACTATTCTTGTTAACTCTTCGCCTAGCAAAATGATGAGCTTGAATCTTGGCTTCTTAGATGGCTATTCATCTGTCACCAACTCAGTGCTTTGTGCCAAGGCATCCATGCTTTTGCAGGTTGGCATATTATATTTTTTGTCCCCTTATTTTGTCATTAGTAAGAGCCCACAAACTGGAGAAAGTAAGGACTATCTCACCTTCTATATTCTGCCAATTATTAGCAGTGAGACCTAGCTTCTGAACTGTAAAGAAACTTGGCTCCACATCTTACCTGCTGTACTGAGTGGGCAATTCAAAGGAAAGACCACTTTGTAATTAAGTTCCAAGATGCCGGTGGTTTTGTTGATACTGTGATACGTATTGTCATCTATAGTACAACTTGGACTAGTACACAACTAAAGCAGCCATTTATTTATTTATTATCTCAAGACTTCAAATTGTTGATCTCTAGTACAATTTGCACAGATAAAACAATTAACGAGGATACTTACGCATTTATTTTTCGAAGTCCTTCAAATGTTGACTGACTTTATTTTAGTTGGCACCGGTTACAGATATGTAGGCAAGCTTATTTGTGTCTTGATAATGGTTAAAAGATTTACTTGCCTGGTCTCTTAGGCTTCTACATAGATAGTAGAAATGCTATACGTCTGGGTCATCAGAAAGATAAAGAAGTCGTATCTTTGCATTCAGGACTAGTATTAGTTGTGTGAAGTAAGTAATGACTTGGAATTACTTTTTCTTAATTGCATTATTTTTTTGGTAGTTACTCCATTTTTGAATTTGGTTGTGGAGATATGGACGAGTGCACGTCTGGCCTGGTAGTTAATCTGCTCACCGGAACATGTTTAAGTTTTATACAGTGGGACAGCTGTATCCCATTGAATAGATGTCTAAATCATGTTCTTTTTTGTGTTCTATATAATATGTTGTTCCTTTCTAAAATGTTAGTTGTTCCTTTCTAAAATGTTAAGAAGTTATACTAATGGTGTGAACATTGTGGAAATAGTGTACTTGTTAGATTATTAAAATTATAAGCCTTAACCCTCACCAAGACTTCAAAGTTTTCATATAGTGGAATAGACCTTTAACATGGCATCCGAACAATGTACATTCAAGTCTCTCCTATCATGTATTTATAGCGTATTGAAAAAGGTACCGTTGTGTGACTCCATGTTTCGACCTAGGAAAAATGCGCTCAACCTGCGAGATGTGTTAGATTATTGTTAAGATTTGGAGAAAAGAGTTTATTGGAGAGGGTTCTCCTCACTATATACTTTATTAATCATAGCGATGAATTAGTTACAAGTTAGTCTCACAGGCAATGTGGGACTAAACCAATGCTAAACTAATACTCTTTTCAAACACTCCCCCTCAAAGTGGAGCATATATATCATGCATGCCCAGCTTATCACAAATAAAGTCAACCCGTGTTCGACTAAGTGGTTTTGTAAGAATGTTTGTTAACTGATGTACTGTTGATACATGTTTTGCTGTGATGGTTTTGTCCTCGAGCTTCTTGCGGATTACATGGCAGTCGACTTCAATGTGCTTAATGTGCTTGGTTCTCTTTTGAAACATGAAATTCTTAGTAATGTGAATTGCTGCTTTATTGTCGCCATATAGATCCATGAGACCTTCTAGAGGGAGACCAATCTCTGTCAATAGGTCTTTGATCCAAATCATCTCTAGTATTACATTTGCCATAACTCTGTATTCTGATTCTGCACTAGATCGAGACAATATTTTGCTTCTTACTTTTCCATGACACCAGAGTTTCTCCAAGGAAGACACAATATTCAGTAGTCAATCTCCTATCAAAAGGACATCTAGTCCAATCTGTATCAGGGAAGCCTGCAACTCTGGTGTGTCCTTAATCTGAGTAGAGAATTTCTCATCATGGAGCCTTCTTCAGGTACCTCAAAATTCTCATTACTGCATCCAAGTGAGTAGTTATTGGTACAGACAATAACTGACTCACAACACTGACTGTGAATGTGATATCAGGTCTGGTCACCGTCAGATAATTCAGTTTTTCCACCAATCTTTTATACTGTCCAACATCCTCAAAAAGCGTCCCTGGTCTGGTAGTAGTTTTGAGTTCATATCCATTAGAGAATAACTGTTTTTGCATCCTAACATCCCAGCTTCTGAGAGCATATCCAGGACATACTTTCTTTGTGACAGAAGAATACCTTTCTGTGACTTTGTAACTTCAATACCTAGGAAGTATTTTAGGGAATTAAGATCATTAATTTGAAAATGTGTCTGTAAATACTTCTTCAGGCTGTTAATACCAGAAACATCATCCATTGTAATTACAATGTCATCCACATATAAAACGAGCAAAATTTGTTTCCTATTCTGAAATCGCCAGAAGATAGTAATCTTTTTGTGCACGATAAAGCCCAAATTCCTAAATAATCGATGCAAAACGTTCAAATCAGGCTCTCAGAGACTGTTTCAGACCATAGAGTGATTTTTTCAGCCTACATACCTTCACATTCTCTCCCTGAGCGACAAAACCTGGTGGTTGCTCCATGTAAACCTCATCATCTAGAATATCGTTAAGGAATACATTCCTGATGTCCAACTAATGAAGTGGCCAATGATTTGTTGCTGCCAGTATTTTCAAAGGCGCGTGTCTCATTGCGCCTCGTGCGCCTTACGATGTCATTTTGCTGAGGAGTTTAAACACAAGAAGACTGATGGAGGATCCAATATTCACGGAAACTAGTAAAGTTGCCATCCAAATATTCCTTTGCATTATCAGATTGGAAAATTTTTATCGAAGACTTGAATTGATTTATTATTTCAGAATAAAAGAATTTAAATATGGAAAAGACTTCAAATCTAGTCTTGAGAAGATAAATCCAGGTAACACGAGTGTGATTATCCACAAAACTGATAAAGTATCGGAACACTAATTTAGAAGTTATTAGGCATGTCTCTCAGATATCAGACTGAACAAGATCAAATGGTTTAGCAGCCCTTTTATTGATTTGATTAGGATAAGACATACGATAGTGTTTGCCAAGTTGACACGACTCACACTCTAACAAGGAAAGAGATTTGAATCGGGGATCAAGTAGTTTGAGAACAGAGAGAGGGATGTCCTAGCTGACAGTAGTATTATAGGGCTAATAAGTTTGCGATACAAGCCAATTGTTTGGCGCCTAATTCCAATTTATAATGGCCATTTTGCTCACGTACCGACCTAATCGTTTTCCTCGTGACTAGGTCCTGAAAGACACAATGTGTAGGAAAAAATATCACTGTATAGTTTAAAGATTTTGTGATCTTACTAATAGATAAAATGTTATAAGGAAAACTAGGAAGATAGAATGCAGAGGAAAGAGGAAGACTAAGAGTAAGATTGGTGTTGCCGACATCCTGAACAGGTGTACGTGAACCATCAGCTAATATAACAGAATTAGATGTAGGGCTGAAAGATGACAAGATACCTTGATTCCCAGTCATAAGATCAATGCTACATGTATCTATAATTCAAATATTAGACGAAGACGATAAAAGTAAAGATAAAGGGGTACTTGCACTTTTGAGAGTAGCAGATAAGGAGGAAGACGATGTTTGTAAACTCTGGTACTATTGGAATAATTAAAATTGCTGAAATTAACGCTGTAACTCCGCTGCAGCTTCACATCATGAAAGATTGATTGTAATTGACTTTCACTATCAGATGGGGTGAAGTTGTCCTGAGCGGTCATGTAAGCACTCTTGGCCTTCTTCTTTTTCAATTTAGGATAATTATATTTGAGATGTCCTTGCTGATGGTAGTAGTTGCAAGTCTTCACTGAGTCATTGCCATGCGTATGTCCGCCTTGAGATGGACCTCCACTGTCACCTCGTTGACCACCTCAGCCTCTAAAACGACTAATGTGGTAACCTCCTCGCCCTTCAAAGTTTCCTCTACCTTTTTCAAAACCATCAGTATGACCCCCACATCCATAAGACTGCCAACTCTGAGTGGCAAGTGCAGAGCGATACGCAGTGGATGTAAGTGGCTGTGCAGGGACACCGTTCTTCAAAAAGTAATAAGTCTCAGCCGGAGAACCAATGACGGAGCTTCTCATGATTTGTGATCGAGCAGAGGAGTAAATAGAATATAAGGTACCAAACTAGGTGAGTACCATAAGTTTGTTCCATTGGTTCTGTATTTATTTTACATCCCCAGTAATAGCAAAAATCTGACGAAGTTTTGCAGCCAGACGATTGAACTCATCATAATGATCATCCATGGGTTTACCATCCCGCTTCTTATGAAACAGCTCTTGAATTACTTCATATGCCCGATTAATATTGCTGCTACCCTCATGAGGTCTTGCAAAAAATACCAAAGTTTCTTCACTATCATACAATGAAGAACTAAATCCTGAATTTTAGGCTCCATAATATTAATAATTTGATGTAAGAAGACGCTATCATTCAATGTTCAAGATTCCGGTGTCAGAATAAGATGGTCTATCAACAAATGGCCAGTTTTGCCTCGGCTTGCCACGTAGATTTTAATAACACGCTTCCACTTGAAATAATTAATTCCATCTAGCTTCCGGTTAGTGATTCTACTAGAAAATATCTCTGAATTTTTCGTCTGCACCGTTAATTCAGAATCATGGTTTTAAATATCGGCCGATAATCCGATATTATCGTCGAGTTATCGGATTTGGGAGCTTTCCGCTAGGATAAGTAGGATTTTTAATCGGTTATCGTTTTTTAAGGTTTATCGGCGAGTTATCGACGATAAAGGCACTAATCGGCCGATAAGTAGGCTCTAAATATCGGTTTTATCGGCCGATAAGTAGGATTTGGGAGCTTTTACTTTCTTTTGAATTTGCTCTTTGAATGTTTACAAATTATGAGCTATTTATTGCTTTTGGAACTTGGTTGATTGGTGATTAGCTAATGTTTGTTTATGGATATTAATAATGGCTCATAACTACTAAATATCAACTAAGTAAGTTAGTTTATGAATTTCATGATTAAACAATAATTATGTAGATGCGTAGATGGTTCTTTATTCTTGATGTTATCTTATTATTTGCTTGTTTATTATTCCATTTTGACTAACATTATATTTTTTTCAAGCTTATGTTTGTTTATTATTTGCTAGTATATTACTATGATAAATACTACTTATCCCCGATATATCCCCGATTTTCGCTATCCGATAAGGATTTTGACCGTCCGATAAATCCTCGATAACCGACATTTAAAACCTTGTTCAGAATACTTGAGTTCCTCAGATCCGGTTATCATGAAACAGACGAGTAGAGTTCAAGATGATACCCTCTATAAATTATACTCTAAATTGGAAACAATCAAAGCATGTCCAAGTTCAAGTGAATTAGCCAGTAGGCTGAACAAGTCCAAGAACCCGAAGGTTTAATTTTGAACCCGAAGTTTAAAGTGCAACAACCTGAAGGTTAATATGGAACCCGAAGGTTAAGATGGAACCCGAAGGTTTTTTAATTATTTTTTAAAATTTTTTAAATTTTTAAAATTTTTAATTTTATTTACGGTACAATTCCCAGATCTGATTTGGATCCGAAAACAAAGAGGGAGGGGGGACAGAGGAGCATGGTGACGGCGAGTGAAGGCTCCTGGTGGCGGCGACATTAGGTTTGGACGAAGCTGCGGCCGGACCGAAGTTTGCGGGCCGAATCTCCGATTAACGACGACACAGCGGCGGCGACGATCGAGAACGTAGCAGCGGGCGGTGGACGAAGCAGACACGAGACGGAGCAGGCGACGGAGGCGTCAGATCTGAAAGAAGACGAAAGACGGCGGGGCATCTGATCTGGAAGGAAGACAAAGGCGGCGGCGGGCGGACGGATCTGGACGAAGACGAAGAAACGGACGAACGACACTGGCGGCGACGGATCTAGACGAAGACGGCGAGAATTAGGGTTAGGGTTAGGCTTAGGAAGTTGGATTAGTTTTAGGGTTAGGGTTAGTGATAAGCTTTGATACCATATTAAGATTTGGAGAAAAGAGTTCATTGGAGAGGGTTCTCCTCACTCTATACTTTATTATTTATAGAGATGGATTAGTTACAAGTTAGTCTCACATGTCTCACAGGCAATGTGAGACTAAACCAATGCTAAACTAATACTCACTTCTAACAACTATAAAATTGTAAATCTCAATCCTCACCACAACTTTAGTGTTTTGTCGATGTGGAAGGGACCTTTAACAGTATTATAATTTATAACAAACATTTTCATCTGAAATTTGTTTGCAGTTATTGTCCTCATGTTGTTTAGTTGTAGAGAGTTTTTATTTGTGCTGTTACATGTTATCATTTATCTTGTTTCTAAAATTTTTACCTGTTTTTCTGGTTATCGGTTTTATATGTAACACTACCACATTATCTTGATGCTCACTTTCGTTCTTGCAGAATGTCCATCCAGCAATACTGTTACGTTTCCTGAGAGAACATCGATCAGAATGGGCTGACAGCAGTATAGATGCATACTCTGCTGCAGCTGTTAAAACTGCTCCTTGCACTTTACCTGGGTCTCATATTGCAGGCTTTGGGGGCCAGGTTATTCTTCCTTTGGCACATACGCTTGAGCATGAAGAAGTAAGCATTTTGGCGGTACATTTTATTTTCGTACAATCTTTGTTTTTCTATTCTTTCTGCTCATTTTTTTTCTTTTTATGATGTCATTGATAGTTCTTGGAGGTCCTTAAATTGGAAAATATTGGGCACATTCAGGATACTCTTATGCCTAGAGACACGTTCCTCATGCAAGTAAGTAAATCAATACACATTGTGTGTTCTTGGTTTAATTTGATATAGATATAGATGATAATGGCAACAGATCGTCTTTCTTCGAAGTTATGTTTATATATGGAAGTTGAGAGAGATCATCTTTAATCATTCATCTCTCTTTACTGACTTCATGTAAAATGAAAACTCTAGGATCCGTTACTGTTGAAGTTAAATCAAGAGCTGCCATTTAACAATTCCTGGTCTTGGAAAACCATATACCACATTCATTTTTTATGCTCAACCACTATTTTCACGCATTCATCAATATAATTTAGCGCAGATATGTCCAGTGCGTAAAAAACGAACTTTGCATAGCAACAGCATGAATAAAGATGAATTAAACCCGATACTAGGCATTTTTTGAAGTTAAGTATCTAGATATATATACAGGCAGGTGTCATGCTCATGTTATCTACTGTTTTGGCAGCTCTGCAGTGGTGTAGATGAGAAGGCTATTGGGACCTGTTCAGAGCTCGTCTTTGCTCCAATTGATGCATCTTTCGCTGATGATGCCCCTTTATTGCCTTCCGGTTTCCGTATTATTCCTCTTGACTCTGTGACTGTAAGTGCATTTTCACATAACTGTGATACGTTAGTCTTTGTAATGCAATTTGATGGTGTTTTCAGGACTTTTTATTATTTATTTATAAAGGGACCTTTTAATGCAGGAAAATTCGAGTCCGAACCGCACTCTAGACCTTGCCTCTGCTCTTGAAGTTGGACCAACAAAAAGCAGAGTTTCTGGAAATGCAATTGGAAGTTGTGGCAGCACAAAATCTGTGATGACAATAGCATTCCAATTTGCTTTTGAGAATCACCTCCAAGAAAATGTGGCAACCATGGCAAGGCAATACATTCACAACATAATATCATCTGTCCAAAGAGTTGCTTTGGCTCTCTCACCTTCTCGTCCTGGTTGCAATAGTATCCTCCGCTCACCACCAGGAAGTCCTGAGGCAGTCACANCACTTGCTCGATGGATCTGCCATAGCTACAGGTGTGAATCATTTTGTTGCAATATCATGGAATTTAGTGATAGTAGGAATACACTTTTTTCTTCTGGATATTTTAACTTTTGATTTACTTGCAAAAGGAGATGCTCAATTGAGAATGTTGGATAGAGCGATTATGACTCTCACCTTCAGTAACAGGTCTTTAGTCTAACTTACATGTAACGGGGATCATGTCTTCGAGTTGTGCAATCTTGAAATTGGGGCAAGGAAATTATAGTTGAAACCAAGGAACTTTTTATATAAATAAAATTTCTCTGAACAAATCTAGATCACATGATTCAATACCTTTTTGCAGAAATTGCAGTTAAAATTATTATTGTAGTTTTAATTTCTCAGGTGTACAGATTATGAATTCATAACGATGTTGACATGTTTTAGTTTCTAAGTAACCTTTCATGGGCTTGAACATATCCATCACATGTGAATATACATATTATGAATCCATAACGATGTCTTTGGATAATCTAACATCATATTCTTTTTATATGTAACACTGACACATTTTCTAAAATCTTTCACCTGTTTTTCTGGTTTCGGGTTACATCCTTTGTTCCAAAAAACAAAGTTGCAGAGAATATGTTTTAAACCTAGGCCTCTTATAATTTGGTGCTACGGTGTGAATTGTAATTGTGCTTGATTATTGACCCCATGTGACAGTAAGATGATGAGGCAAGGAAGAAATCTTATCTACCATCACACAAAACAAGGCTGAAAATAGTTTGGCTAGGCTCTTTCTGTGAGGCAAACATCATAATAGTTTACCTTGGTTTTAGGAGATATTTCTCATGAGGGATAAATTTGAAGAGCATTAGAGATTCTAATTCATGATGCTAAAGATTCTTTCACCTCTTTTCCACGTGGGTACATACTTGAATGTATTTCATGGTTTTCCATGGGAGCATGTCAATATATCTTCTTAGGTTTGCAGTTGTGATTAACTGACTATTATGCTTCCATTATGATTTCTGGAGCTAATCTAGTAAACTATTTATAGTAAAGTGGAGTGACAATTAATCTTGTTACAGACTTTATGACTAGTATTCCAAATGCAATTCTACCAGTTTACTCAAAAAAGGGTGCTGAAAAAAAGATATTGTCAGCATGACTTACAGAAGTGCTTTTCCATTTCTGGTGAAAGCTTTATATGATAATTGTTCCATTTTTTTTATTTTCTTGATTAATAGTATATGTAAACGGTGTAAACGGTTCCTCCTTTGAGGTTGCACAAAGTTCCTGATGCTCCTATCTGCAGAGCTTTGTTGGATGCGGGTGACTTTTCACTTCCGCAAGAATAGTTTGCAGCCAAGAACAATATTGAATCGCTTTTATCTGAGTCTAATGAGTATTAGTATTGCTGAATTCACTTTTTGCCTGTGATCTACTTGGGAATGAAATGGATATAGATCTAGATCTTGTTAATGAGATTATATGTTCAATACTGATGTGCAGGAGGGTTTATGTAGAGACTTCTATCATAGTGAAGAAGAATGTTTTATTCAACTAGGAATCATAACTATTGCTTTTTTGGTCAGATGTAATTTTGGGGTTGATCTTCTTAAACCTATCTCTGGAGGAAGCGATTCACTTCTCAAAATACTTTGGCAACATGCAGATGCTATTGTTTGTTGTTCTTTGAAGGTTTGTAATGTGCTCTCATGTCATGCCTTTCCACAATTTTATTTCCAAGCTGGATGTTCTGATTATCTTTATGCATACCTTCTTTTGGAGAAATTAAAGTTCTCATTTTTTTGCTGATCACTGCAGGATATTCTTAAGGTCTTTATGTAATCTCTTTTTAGTAGGATTATTTATTTAATTTAGCGAGATCGATCAGCTCTCTTCTCTTTTTATTCATAGTTATGTGTTCTTGCACATGCAAACAGATCATATGGAATTTGCTATTACTGCAACGATGCTATTCATTGAGGAACTTCTTTGTCCTTTTCATTGCCCGAGTGCTAACAAGCAAAACAAAACACTGTTAGCCTGTTACAGCCCCTAAGATTCTACTGCTGTCCACTGGTACATTTCTAGGATATGCCCCTATGGACTAAGGTTGGCCTTCTATTGATTCAAATCAAAGTGAACTGATTTGATAAAAAAAAATCCAACTGCAAAGAATGTTCAAGTTTTCCGGGGCTTTAAAGACATTATTTGTGAGAAGAGGATGTAAAGGATGCATCTAGTAAACGGTGTACTTCTAAACAAATAGAGGGAAAGATATGATATCTGCTCTTAAACATCAGGTCGACTTCAAGTAGAAAGTAAACTAGCCAACATTACTTCATTGGATAGTAGTGGCACGTCTCCCAGTTTGCAGTAATTCAGCATAACAGATTATCATATTTCCAATTTAAATAAATATCTTTATATATATTAAATATATTTGGAGGTTGCTCTTTTAATTGCATGAGCATAACAATGACTGCCAATCACAGAAGCTTAGATGACAACTTTAAGTGACCACTTGGTAATTAGGTGAAGGGTGTAATCCAGTGAAATATCTTTGGCATAAATGTTCGTCTCTTTACACTTGTATGGTTGTACCTGTTGGAGAGATTTATGTACTAGCAGAGGTCGTTATATTCTAATAGATATTGTTTTATGAGCTGACATATCTTTTCTGTATCTTGTGCAGGCAGTGCCGGTTTTTACCTTTGCAAACCAAGCGGGACTTGACATGCTCGAGACAACACTGATTGCGCTGCAAGATGTTACTTTAGAGAAGATATTTGATGGTCAAGGATGGAAAATTCTCTGTGGCGAGTTCCCAAGTATCATGCAGCAGGTCTCTCTATCTGGTTCCCTATCTTTGAAAAGTACACAGTTTTCATTCGTGAATGGTAAAATTTCATGGAAAACTTCAATGGGCTTTGGTTCATTGTTGACGCTGTTGGCCAGCTAGATAACTCTTGGATCAGTATACTCATCTGCAAAACCCGCCGGTTTTACATTGATCCAAGGGTTTTCGTTACTTGGCACATCATGTGTCTGTAGCACCTGGCCCACTGGATACTTTCTCAAAGTATATACAAGGTTTATGCATGAAATTTGTGTCATGGTGAATCTTGATTACTTGGTTTGGCAGTGGCCTCTCAACAAATTCATACCTTCTGCCCGTTTATTTTTACACCGCTTTTTCTTTTAAATTCTATACATATTTATTTCTTTAGCAGGGTTTTGCATGTTTTCAAGGTGGCATCTTTTAAATTCTATACATTTTTATTTCTGTAGCAGGGTTTTGCATGTTTTCAAGGCGGTATCTGTGTTTCTAGTATGGGAAGGCCAGTCTCTTATGAGAGGGCAGTTGCTTGGAAAGTGATGAATGACGAAGAGGAAGCCCACTGCATTTGCTTCATGTTCATAAACTGGTCCTTTGTTTAGATGCACTTCAAACCAAAAACATAGGAAGCAAAACCAAAGGAAGCTAAATTATCCTATACATAAATCTATAGCTACTCGGTACTTTTTTGATACGAGGAACTGTATCTTTATAATCTTAAAGATTGCAGTCTTTTTTAACATCCTGGCTAAAAGAAAACCCAACTGCCCTGTTGTTTCCTGCGTGTATGAAAATGGTTCACATTTTAAGGATATATGTTATGTGCTTCTGATCGGTCTATACATTTCATGGTTAATTTATGTTGTTGTGAACTTTGCAATAGACTCACAATTTGCACTTATTTGCCTTAAGTGCACAACCTGTATCAGCGGAAAACAGTGCATAATTTGAGTTATCCATCACATTTTATCATGTGTGTATCGTTACTTCACATTTTACTACTTATTGCAAGGAGAACTGGTATCATCTCTATGGGTTGCTGAAGTAGCTCACGAGGATGAGATCGGACTTTTTCCACTTATTGTTAAAAGGAAAATTTAGGTCGCGATGGATTGGAGAGGGACCACACTTTTGTATCAACATCTCTTGCAGCCGGATGCCTTGAGCCGTCTCTATTATCTCTGTGTATTATTATTATTATTAGTAGTTTCATTGCTCTGTTCCGTTGCACCTGAGAGTCTAGCGACGTGCAAGCATATGCTAAAGTGGAAATTCCTCTCAAACCTTAATTGATATTTGGGTAAATTTCACGAAACCCCCTGAACTTAGGGTGTGTTACACTTACACAAAACACTTCTGAACATTGCAAATTCCAGAAAAACCATGCATCCTTGTCTCGCTTTGCTACCATGTCTGCCATTGTGAAGTTTAACATGTCATGTTTGTTCCTCACATGACACAAAAAATTGGACGTTTTTTTTCTTCTCCTGATTACCAAATTTTTTTGGTTGATATCTACAATTTTCATCCCCTTCTTTTAGAGAGGCTGTCTTAGACATTTTATGCTTTAAATCTGTTAATTATAAATACCATGGGGGTTTTTTTTTCTGAAACTATCCAAAATTCATGGGGGTCTTGTGAAAATTACCAAGTTAAAGGGATTGCAGAAGCCCCCAAAGTCGAGAGGGTTTTGTGAAATTTATCCTAGATATTTTGGGGCCAGGTGTAACTCTTTTTTGTAATCTAGAATATGTATCAGATATGGACCTGCTTGGTTCAGGCTCCGTTTAAACTTTGGTCCCTTTCCTAATTCCTAGCTCCCATGTATACTACTTGGGCTGTATACCAATATGCTTCCTCAAAGGTTGCATTATTTTCAAACTGAAAACCTTATCCAATTTAATTAGTACTAATTAAGAACCTTAGCAGCCATTAATTTGCAGTAATCCTAAATATCGCTGTAACGCGAAATAAATGGTTCAGTGCAAGTGGCTGTGAATAGCTCAATGCATCGCCCCATGAAATGAGGAGTAGACACAGATCATGTTCTGTCTCTTTCCTATACAGTAGCTCCTAAGTACAACTCGGCGACCAATTTGCTTCATCTTTCCTTTTACAAGCTTGAATCTTATCCATTTATGGGAACCGATTAGCTATACGTCAACTTTATATATATACCCGCGTGGATGGGGACTGTTAAATTTTAGCTAGCTGAAACCTTTTAACCTTGAAATCTTTCTTTGTTGAAGAAAAAATTAATGATTTTAGTACTTGATGTTCGTCACTATTATATAGGCTCACGCGCATTCATGAAATTCAAGATATACGTACACACCGTACACCCACCATATTTACCTAGGGAAACTCGTATATATATCATCTACCTAAGTTGCATGAGAAGTATATTATGCAATTAATGCGCAAATTAATTAACAGATATAGCTAATTAACTGTTTGTAGGCAAAGAGACGAAGCTAAATATTGCCTGCTTCAGATATTGCAGCAAGTGAAGCATCAAGCCAGAATCTATAGCCAAGCATATATAGCAGTTACCTCTTCCCTTGGTATACCTATAAATTGACATGCACCCATCTTTTTTCTAACCTACCTTTTAAGGCAATTAATGATAGATGGAGGGGATTCGACGACACTGATGAGCACCCTTTTCTAACTGTACTCAAGACAACTTTCAGGGTACGTTGAGGGTATCCCTCACCTGTTGCACGCGCTTTTTAGCTTTGCTTTGAAACGGACGAGAAATGTGAAGGTACGCTGCATTGCGCATATGTCGAGTGACACAAGAGCAGCTAATCTAGGGTTTTTATCGATATCGATAATTCGATCTTGTGCAATTGATAGTTCCAGACTTGGACACCGGACAGACTCCTCCCTTATATAATTTGATAGGCCTTCATCAAGAGAATTAGAACTTGTAATAACTCTACTAAACTAATCAAGTATTTTTTTTACATTATTAGTTGCTGATCTAGCTAGCTAGTAAATATATACATAGAAGCTATATTGAAGATATATATCATCCTAAAAATCATCAACAAAAGGAACACCACCCTACTTTTCCCATGCACGTATTAGGAAAGTGGTCCCTTCAAACTCTTTATATGAAAGCCAGGTACCGATATCGATGAACCTCCTACGTCTCAATCGGAAGAACCCCCCTAGCTCGTGATGACCAAATCCATGATCTCGACAAGTTTAGACATTCTAAGCTTTCTTCTCTTCAAAAACCACTTCGCCCATTGGAGGATGTTGCTCTCAGCTTCGTATCAATCATCGATATAACTTCCCCCAGTTGTAGACTCTATAGTTGCAACTGTTGCAATTTGCACATTTAATAGCAAATAAAGGCACCCTAACTACTAAAATGATGCTTTATGATCTCCCTCTCCAATTGATTTCTACATATCCTAGCAATTAAGGCCTATGGCTACTGTATCACGTTCTCCTGCTTTTGATTTTAATGACCCTACCAACTCCTAGGTTTCTTTCTAATTAATATGTACTCATTTCTTTCGGCACTTTTAATTGATTGGCTATAAAAGGGCATGCAGACGAGCAAACCATATGCGCAGAGAGAGAGAGAGAGAGAGAGAGAGAGAGAGAGGTTCCACTAATTATTTCAAGAAGTTGTCGTGCACCAAACAAGTTATGGCGGAATCACACAGTCCTCCACCAAAGGTAACTTGATCACCCTACTCGTAATACTGTTACATTAAGAAAATTAATTAGATTGAGGTTGAGTTTTAACTCTACTCGTTGAGTAAATCTTAATTAATCTGAAATCAATTTATTGTGCTAATTAGCTAGTTTTCTTGCCAAGGTATCCTCGACCTGAGATATACTTGTAAGATTTTTTTTTTCTTATTTTTTTTCCTCTTTCCCAGTTGAGCTAGTCTTCTATTGATATATGCAAGGAAGTGGAAACTATTAAACAAAATCATAACTTTGGATCTCCAAATTGAAGATGCATACTACTGGATGTAACCTATATATAATACACATGGACTATATTTCACTCAAAATTTTCGATGACACCTGACGTGTTTATATTCGTGTGTGAGAGACAAAACTTAATCCACTTAATTTATGAAAATTATGAAACATTAATTTTGACAACATACGACACCTGAAAAATATAAATTAAAGTCGTTCAATATTTTATATATTTGATGTGTTATATAACATTTGACAGCATTAATTAAAGAAAATCCAAATTTTAAACTTAAATGGTTATTAAACATAACATTCTACTAATAGTAGTCTATCTCAACTCATTTTTTTCCTCCTTTTTTTTCTATGTAATCTTCCTCAAGCTAACTGTGCAGCAGAAGCGACTTCTCGGAAGTTTTTTTTTTCATTATTGTGCATGCATGGATATATATCATTATGTGTAGACAAACTACTGTGTGTCATATTCTCATTCTAATTATTTATCCTACTATTGTTCTCTCAGAAAGATCAATCTCTTAGAAGAGTTTACTCCGACACATCATCCCTGATCCCTGACATGAAAAATCCAAATCAGCAAATCACCACCATCGATGAAGAAGCAATCAACTGCGAATGCTGCGGAGTCTCTGAAGACTGCACACCAACCTACATCACCCGAATCAAGTCCTACTTCTGCAACAAATGGGTCTGCGGACTCTGCGCTGAGGCAGTCAAAGAAAAGATCAGACGAGCTTCGAATCAAATTTCGATGGAAGAAGCTTTGGAGTCTCATGGAGAATTATGTAAGAGGTTTAATGGGACGGTGAGGGTTAATCCGAAGTTGTCCTTGGCTGGTGCAATGAGGGAGATTGCCAAGAAGAGTTCTCAGAGGAGAAAGAGTTCTGAGGAGTTTTATGGTGGGGGGACGAAGATTGGGAGGACAATGAGTTGTGTTGCCAGGATTGATGGATGCTAGTTTAAGTACTTAATTATCATTAATTGTGACCTATGTTAACCTTCTCCATTTGTATCTCTAGTCCCCCCCCCCCGAGAAGGATAAATTAGGACTCTGCGCTGAGGCAGTCAAAGAAAAGATCAGACGAGCTTCGAATCAAATTTCGATGGAAGAAGCTTTGGAGTCTCATGGAGAATTATGTAAGAGGTTTAATGGGACGGTGAGGGTTAATCCGAAGTTGTCCTTGGCTGGTGCAATGAGGGAGATTGCCAAGAAGAGTTCTCAGAGGAGAAAGAGTTCTGAGGAGTTTTATGGTGGGGGGACGAAGATTGGGAGGACAATGAGTTGTGTTGCCAGGATTGATGGATGCTAGTTTAAGTACTTAATTATCATTAATTGTGACCTATGTTAACCTTCTCCATTTGTATCTCTAGTCCCCCCCCCCCGAGAAGGATAAATTACAACTATTCCCTCTCTCCCTTGTGAAATTGAGACTGTTAAGTGCTATGAAAAGTAAAGATGAAAATGATTATTTTAAAATTACCATTTAGTTTATGAAAGAAGATTAGATTACAGACTAGTTGAGAGTGATGATGGAATTTTTAATAGGGGTTTCTCTTTTAACCCAAAAGTTTACCCCCACTTGTTTAAAAACCCACCCACTTTTCCAACCATCAATACACCCAATATATCTCATCCCACCTATTTTAAAACCCAATATGTATAATACCCTCATTCTTTATACAATATTTACCCAATAAATTAAAAATTCCTAAACTACCCTTCATCCCCAAATATAACCGGTCTCTTCCTCTCTTTCTCATCCGTTTCACTTTCTCAAATAGAGCGATCCCCATAGAGTCCTAGGAGCGATTCTCAAACCTCAAAACCACCAAATCGATCTCAAAATTCTTGAAAATAATTATCCTTAATCTCTCTAGTTTGCATTAACACACCCTCTTGCTCTTATTTTGGCATCACACGGCTCTCTTGCTCTTATTTTGGTGCATCACGACGAGCTAATTTTAACTTTCCGGCGAAAGAGAAAAGACCACTGTCGCAGAGGAGTTTTTAGGTAAATTTGGCAGTTAATAAACAATTTTTCTGATTTATAAAGGAACTGAGCATCGCCTGGGAGATTCATAATAATTAATTTATATTTTAAAAATTATTGTCGATAGGCCGTGGAGATGTCTAGCATAAGTAAATCGTGGGGTTCTTCCCAATCGAAGACTAAGGCTACTAAGTAAGTAAATTTTAATTTCTCTGAAATTACTATCATCTCATGAATTTTATTAATTTATTTGAATGCTTGGTTCCCTTGTGAAAGATTGTTATGCTGTATTGAATTGGAAGACCCGTCGTCATATATTTCTTGTGTTTTTAAGTAATCAAGTTGTCGTTGCCGTTGACGTATACTATTATATACAATATTTTTGATTTGTTAATATTAGGATGATTCTTTTGCATTTTAAGAATAGAGCATACTGATATACTTGTCAAAAAAGACTATATTTAGGCAAGAGGCAGTTATGAAATAACAATGATTAGATTCATGGAAAAATTATTGAAGAAAGAATGATGAATATGTAAAAAGAATATGTAGAGCTAGAACAAATGTCTATATGGAATAGAAAATAATCTATTCGAAGACATGCATAAAATACTATAGATAAGTGTACATAAACTTTATGCAGTGTTTCAGTTTCTTTTGTATTTGGTTAACACTTATACTGTGTAAAGTATAATATATTGGTAATATAACTAGTTTTTCTTTCTAGATATAAAACTCTAATAATATATATATACACAAGTTTATTGATAATTTTTGGAACGTATGTAATAAAGCATTTTGAGGTTTCAATGAATTTCTCTAAAAAACCATATAAACACATGCAGAACATAAAAACAACTGTATCAACTCCAACAAGAAAGTAGAAACAAGGATTCTCTAAGTTGTTGTTATCCCTTTCTTTATGTTGTACTCTTCATTTAAAAAAAATTTAAAAGACAATCATACACATATAGTTATATGCACATTATGAACATAATTGTTGTTGGTTAGTAGGAATGGCAGAGGTGTATATATTATGAACAATTTCCCTGCTTGCATTAATGATGAATAGAAAATAGGAAATAAGCATGCGTATAGTATAGAAACCTAATAGGTTCTTCAACATGATGTGTATGACCATAACTTAAAATGTATTAGTGTAAAAATGTATTAGTGTAGTTTTTTTTAAATATCATTATTTTATCATGTAATCATTGATTGTGACATTTGTTTGTGCAGGAGTTTAGATTGTGGCATTTTTATGATGGGATACATATATTCCATCATCAATGGCATAACTCTATTTATTCATCAGAAAGATTGTGAACTTCTAAGAGCAAAGATCGCTATTGCATTTATTTCGAAGGAATCAAAAAATTTGCTAGAAAACACTTTTACCCAGGAAGTAGACTATGAATATAAATGTCTAGGATGTCCTTATTGTTGAAGTTGTGTAGGAGTTTAGATATGTGTACTTGACTATTTCATTTTGTGTTGAATTTGTAGCGGCGGTTTTAGGAAGTGGTGATTTTGGACACTAAATATAAAATGTCCAGTTAACTTTAATATTTAAAGTTGTATGTTGTGTTGCATAATGTGTTGATTTTTATAGTGGTGATGTGTAATTATTGTTTCATGTTGTAATTGTGTTCTTATTGTTGAAATTACATCATTTCAGATCCGTGTACTTGATGTTTCATGTTGTGTTGATTTTGTAGTGGTGATTTTGGATTTATTTTCATTCAATCTCCTTGATATGCATTTATCAATTGATCTTGGAATTGCTACACACCAGTTTAATGCTATGTACTTGATTGTTTAGTGGTTGATAGATATGAATAATGCTTTAAAGGTTCTATAATTCCTTGACCACTTCTTGGTTAATTAAGTCGCAACTTTGTTCAAATCCCGACTTTGTTAAAATCTGCTATGTGCTTAATTTATTTTTTAGTTTTTGAAAAAGTATACCTCTCTATAGTAAAGTGTAACACCTTATCATGAAAGTATAACTCTATATGCAAAGTATAGCTCTTTATGACCGTAGTATAGCTCTTTATCGATTAAGTATAGCGCTTTATAGTCTCTAGAAATTCTGAAACTTTGTGAAATATATCAAATTAATTTTTTCATGTCGATGAGAGGTTCACTCTTAATTTTCTAGTTTTAAAAAAAGAATAGCTCTTTACAGTAAAATGTGGCACCTTATCATGAAAGTATAGCTCTTTATGCCAAAGTATAGCTCTTTATTGATAAAGTATAACTCTTTATGATCTCTAAAAATTCTGAAACTTTATGTGATATATCAAATCAGTTTTTGTGGAATATATCAAATTAGTTTTTTCTGAGTAATGTAAATGTGTGATGATGTATACAATATGTTATTTGATCAATTATTCATGTCGACAAAACGTCCACTCTTAATTTTAAAATTTTTGGAAAAATATAGCTCTTTACAATAAAGTGTAGCATCTTATCATGAAAGTATAGCTCTTTATGCCAAAGTACACCTCTTTATGATTGTAATACAACTTTTTATTGATTAAGTATAGCTCTTTATGGTCTCTGAAAATTCTGAAACATTGTAAAATATAGCAAATTAATTTTTTTTGAGCAATGTAAATGTGTCATAATGTATACAATATGTTGTTTGATCAATTATTATTGTGGACAAGAGGTACACTCTTAACTTTTAGTTTTTGAAAAAGTATAGTGTGACACTTTATCATGAAAATATAGCTCTTTGAGCTAAAGTATAGCTCTCTATGACTGTAGTATAGTTCTTTATTGATTAAACATAGCTCTTTATAGTCTCTATAATTTCTAAAATTTTGTGGAATATATCAAATTAATTTTTTTTAAGCAATGTAAACGTGTGATGATGTATACAATGTTATTTGATCAATTATTCATGTCGACGAGACGTCCACTCTCAAATTTTTAGTTTTTGAAAAATATAGCTCTTTACAATAAAGTGTAGTCCCTTATCATGAAAGTATAACTCTTTGTGACAATGTACAACTGTTTATGACCGTAGTATAGCTCTTTCTTGATTAAGTATAACTCTTTATGATCTCTAAAATTCTAAAAACTAGTGATAAATCAAATCATTTTTTAGCAATGTAAACGTGTAATGTTGTATACAATATGTTGTTTGATTAATTATTCATGTCGATGAGAGGTCCACTCTTAATTTTCTAGTTTTTGAAAAAGGATAGATTTTTATAGTAAAATATAGCTCCTATGTTAAAGTATAGCTCCTTATGACCGTAGTATAGCTCTTTATTGATAAAGTATAGCTCTTTATAGTTTCTGAAAACTCTAAAACTTTGTGAAATATATCAAATCAGTTTTTTCTGAGCAATGTAAATATGTAATGACGTATACAATGTGTTATTTGATCAATTATTCATGTCGACGAGAGGTTCACTCTAATTTTTTAGTTTTAAAAAAATATAGCTCTTTATAGTAAAGTGTAACATCTTATCATGAAAGTATAGTTCTTTATGCAAAGTATAACTCTTTATGACCGTAATATAGCTTTTATTGATAAAGTATACCTCTTTATGGTCTCTAAAAATTCTAAAACTTTGTGGAATATATCAAATCTAATTTTTTTGAGCAATGTAAACGTGTGATGATGTATACAATGTATTATTTGATCAATTATTCATGTTGACGAGAGATCCACTCTTAATTTTCTAATTTTCAAAAAAGTATAGCTCTTTACAGTAAAGTGTAGCACCTTATCATGAAAGTATAGCTCTTTATGCCAAAGTATAGCTCTCTATGACCGCAGTATAGCTCTTTATTGACAAAGTATAGCTCTTTATGATCTCTGAAAATTCTAAAACTTAGTGGTAAATATCAAATCAGTTTTTTCTGAGAATGTAAACATATGATGTTGTATACAATGTTCCCAAAATCAACCAAACTTTTACAAAATATTAGCAACAACAATTACTTTGTGTCACATGTAGCAAA